TGCAGTGAGGAGTTTGGGCTCCCTAGAGAAGGTTTGGTTGTTGTAATATTATACTTCAGCAGATCGATGACCATTAACAGCCCGACTCCAATAGGAATAATGGTGGTGCCACAGTGATCGAGGGGACCTCCAGCATAACTGCTGTGGGCTCGGAAAAGGGGTGGTTCCTGGGTTGTCTTCACTTCAGCATCCCAGGATAAAGCAACACGTTTCTTGGTTTGGTCAGTTTGTTGAGTAGTTGTACATAGAGTGAAAATGATGTTGGAACCACATAATAACTTCCCAGACTTTCTCCTAAAGAAAGTAGCACACTAAGCTGGAGAGATGGCTGAGCAGTTGAGAACATTGGGTGCTCTTTCAGAAGACCCAGGTTCAATCCTCAGTACTCACAACTGTCCATATTACTCCAGCTCTAGGGGAAATGACACTCTCTTCTAGCTTCTGTAGGCCCCAGGCAAAACCATACAGGCAAAACATCCATACACTTAAAGTAACATAATTTTAAAAAATTAAAAAGACATCATGTCTCTTCTAGTCATATTTATTTGATATTAACTCATTATCCCCAAGTAGAAACTAGCTTCCCGTCTCTCACTAGGCAAAAATTCAGTTCCAAAGATGTCAAAGACCTTAATGTAAAACCTGAAACTCTAAATCTGCTAGAGGAAAACATAGAAAAAATTTCAAGAGACAAGAAAGGTCTAGAACTTTCTGAAGAAGACTCCAATAGCTTAGGAGTGCATGAGTGTGTGCGAGCACAAAGCCTCTGTGTGGCAAAGGGAACAGAGCACAGGCTGAAGAGACTCCCTACAGGAAGGGAGGAAGCTGCCAACTATACATTTCAGAGGACGGATATCTAGATAGCCAAGGACACAAAGGACTCTAAAATTAAACGCTACAATGAATGCATCAATGAAGTGACTGGCAAGCTCATTTGTAAGATACACAAATGGCCAAAGAAAATTTTGAGAAAGTGTTTAACCTCCTTAGCCAGCAGGGAAACACAAATTAAACTTTTTGAAAATTCCATCTCGATTCTGGAGTGACTGTCCTCAATAAAACAAGTAACAAATATAAGTAAGTATGGAGTGGGGGAAAGGTAGCCTTTCTGTGTTCCCCCTTCTCCCCACCGTGTGTGTGTGTGTGCGCGCGCGCGTGTGTGACACACACACACGCAGGAAGACAGAGATAACTTAGGGTGTCATTCCTCTGGAGTAATCTGTTGTTTTTGAGATAGGGTCTCTCACTGGCCTAGAACTTGTGAAGTAGACTAGGCTGACTGGACAGCAAGCCCCAGGGATCTGCCTGCCTCTGCCTCCTCAGCGTTGTGAAGCAATTGCACACCCCGTGTCTATGCCCATTGTTGGGAGGAACACTTAAACACTGTGGGTGGGAATAGTACACCCACTAGGAAGTCAGTATGGATAGTCCTCAGGAAAATCTAAAAATAGAACTATCATGTGATTCAGTGGTTCCAGTCCTGGGTACACCGAAAGGATTCTAAACCAGCACATCACAGAGATTCTTGTACGTGCATGGTTATTGCTGCTCTATTCACAGCATCCAGGAAACAGACCAGAATTGAAGTTCACCAACAAATAAACAGAAAGAGAAAATGTACACACACACACAATGGGATTCCAGTGAAATTATGACACCTTAGGAAAAATGAAATATGGACAAAATTTGAGCTCATTATGTTATGCCACATAAGCCAGACTCGGAAATATAACCATTTTCCCTTGTGTGTGAGACACAGATCTAAGTTTATGCACACACACACACACACACACACGTGCACACACGCCCGCACACACACACACACACGCACACACACGCGTGCACACACACACACGCACACACACGCGTGCACACACACATACACACACGCACGCACACACACGTGCACACACGCGCGCGCGCACACACGCACACACACACACACACATCCATAGGACCTGAAATTCAAAGGAGGATATGAGAGACAGGAAGAGGCTTACCGGCAAGGAACAGGAACAACAGGGAGTGGAGTGGAATTCATGTGCGAGGATGCAGCAAGGCTGTTGGTGAGGTGCAAGGGGACCCTCAAGGGAGGAGGAACAATGGGCCAGTCGAGTAGAAGCAAAATGGAATGCACACTTGATATGGTAGCAGAGAAACGGTACCTTCCTTGTGGGCAGGAGTAGGTTTTATTCCTGTGGGGTCATCCACCGACTCTGTTGCTGAGTGGAGACCTGGGATTAATAACTGCATAAAGAGCATCTGTCAAGCACAAGCTAGCTCTCCTGTCAAGGAGCTCCCAGAAGATAAGGACAAGCAAGGCGAGGAAGGCGATGGCTGGGATCCAGGCTCACCGATGCACTAAGCAAGTCCCGGTGTGGTCCACAAGGACGGACGGGAGAGATTGGTTGGCAGTAGGGAAGAGAGAGGTTGGTTGGAAGTAGGGGAAATGCAGCTCTGAGAAGCTATCCTACTTACTCTCTCTGCTTCTCAGACCTCTAGTGGAGATTGTCTCTTTCAGGATCTCTGCTTGTCTCAAATGCGTTAGTTGTACAGTTTTAAGTTAGTCTTAAGACATTGTTCTGATAATATACCTTGAACCTTAGTTATGAAAACACTGTGTGAGCAATTTAAAAACTCAAATACGGTATAAGCTGGAGAGGGACTCCAAGCCAGTAGATACTTCCACTCATAATATAAAGCATGGATATTTTTAGGATCTGACATTGGATTTGGTAGTGCTTGTTCTATTTTGTCAATTAAAGCATTGGCCTACATCTTTGATCTGTGTTTGGATTTTCTGATGACAGAACTTTATAATAACTAGAACTAGAAATGCCATCTTTGGTGGGAATACAGCAGGGGACCTATGGAGAGGGCTTAAGGTGTTGGTAATTAGCCGTGTGTAAAACACACAGTCTCAAAGCAATTAAGGATGGTAATTGAAAATTTGGTTGCAGAGCAGAACGGCTCGTATGTAGCTGGAGGAACTGCTTGCTTGCTTGCTTACAAGAGTGACATTATAGAAAAGAGGTAGAAAATCCAGACAGAACAAATATGGGACAAACAAGTGCTTTCCTCACAAGCAGCCGTAGTTTTTGAACAGCAGTGCCTTGCTGCTGTATGTGACACTATTAGCTGCAAACTTTAGTATTAACAATGCAAACTTTCAGCCTATCTCTTGTAAATATGCACACCATTTACTCATGACAAACTTAGCTGCCAAGGAGAGTCAGCTGTCATTTGACTTAGTGAACACTTCCATGTTCATGTACTTTAAATGCAATTAGTGGACACACAGTGGGCCACAATGTCACATGTGTGTTCTTTTGGGAGGCACAGGGCAATATCAATGGTGAGTTCAGAATGACCCTGGGATTTTATGATAGACGTCCTTTGCATGGACTTCATAAGCTATGACGCTTGATTAAGGTGAAAGTATATGCAAGAAGCTCAAAACAAATCCAGCCTTGTGAAAAAGTTTTCAGGCAAAGTGAAAAAGAAATGCAAAATTCCTTTTAGGTGAACATCAGTAGAAACTGGTGGAAACCAGCAGAAACTGTTTTTTTTTTTTTTTTTGTCAGTGCTTAGGGGTGAGTGGGCTCTGGCCTGCCTGGGGCTTTTTAAGTAGCAGATACAATGCCACCAAATAAGATCTGGAAAGGCTGAGAATGCAGGGTGAATTTAGTGCCTGATTATTTCTGTCTTCTGGATGGGGAAGTCAGTTTACAACCTCTGTGATAGAGAGAAAAAAAATGACGTATGCTGGAAATCCATAGGTTATGTCAGGGCTGAAGTTGGTCAACAATTTTCACTTTGCAGAAAGTGTTGAGTAGACCAACTCCTGATTTCTTTTTCCTTAGCCTCCATCCACTTTCTGAAGATGTATCTAACAGATGGCGGTTTTTTTTTTTTTTTTTTTTTTTTTTTTTTTTTTAAGTTAAGGTTCCATCAGGCAGTGAAGGATAGGAACCCGGCACTTTAAAGTTTCCCACTCATCATCTCCATCCTGTTTGAGGAACTAGCATGTATAAAGATGTAACAATCTAGGAACCACAGACATTTTGGAGTGTGCACAGGGTGTATAAAACGTCGATTGTACTCCAAGCCTGTTATCATAAAAAACATATCTCCTAAAATGTGGAGTACAGGAGCGTAGGGGTTACTGAACAGGCCCGGAACACAGGGATGAAGCATTAGCCTGGGGTTGGGAAACATGTTCCAGAGGTAACGACTTGACCTCTTTGGATCAGGGAAAGTTCCTGTTTGTTTCGTAATGTGTGCATTTCATTATTTGCATGATTTCACGAGGCGCTGGGGAGAAGTGCATGCTATAAGGTGAGTCTGAACCAGCACTCAGGACTTAGAAAGTGGAATCAAATACATTTCCTTGTCTTTGAAATACACTTAGTGAAGACCTCCCAAAGTATACCTACTTCTTGATGGGAAATTTGTCTTTTTTCTCTCTCTGAAATGTTTGTAGGAGTTTCTTGGGGGAGAAAATTCTATACTCATTTTTCACTGTGCTCTAAGGACGAATTAAAAAGTAAAACTAGCTGATAGGACAGCGCCCCAGGCTGTCGGGGTGGTGCTTTCTCGCAACCCCAGTGTTTGTGAAGTTCAAGGTCATCTCTTTTTCCACAGCGAGGAGTTTGAAGCCAGCCTGGTCTCCTTGACCGTCTCTCACAAAACCAAGCCCCAACGAATCTAACCGGTAAATGATAGGGAATTAACCCTTTGACCAATACCAAGACCACCCATGGGCTCCTTTCAGAACGTTGCCTGGAGCAAGGAGGGCGCCCAGGGCCAGGCGGGTCCCGGAGTCCCTCAGCTTCTGGAAGGGCTAAGAGGTGCAGCAGGCTTCCCGGGTGCAGCAGCCCCAGCTTGGCTTTCACAGGCTGCTCTGCTTGTGAGTGTGTGTGTGCTCTGCGTGTGTGTGTGTGTGTGTGTGTGTGTGTGTGTAAGTAGGGGGCGGGTCTTCGGGCCAGACACGCCCCCACCGGCCTTAAAACCCGCGAGCCTGCGTCCGACCCGCCGCTGCTCGCGCTCGCGGGGACTGCCACGCTCCGCGCGGCCCGCAGCCCCGCGCCTGCCGCGCCCCGTGCTGCACAGCTGCCCATGGCTGACCTGAGCTTCATCGAGGATGCAGTCGCCTTCCCCGAGAAGGAGGAAGACGAGGAGGAGGAAGAGGAGGAGGGCGTGGAGTGGGGCTACGAAGAAGGTAGGCTCGCGGGCTGCTGTCGCAGCTTCTCCGCCCCACGCTGTCCCCCGCCTTCCCCTCCGAGGCTTCCCGACCGCGGTTCGCACCTGCTGTGCCCGGGTACCCCAGCCCGGAGCAGACCTGAAATCCACTTGCTTCCTAGGCATGGGAAGTACAACCAAGTGCGACTTAGAAAACGCGTCCCGAATTGCAAGCTGGATCGGTGCTCTTGGAGACTTTGAAAGGAGTTCCCTAAATCTGTCCCGGAAGCCCAGGACTCCTAATAGCCATTAGTGCCCATGTTTACTGTATACACGGAGGGAAAAAAGCGCAAAGGAGTCCATAAATATGTGCATGGGTACTGTATTTGCTTTTTAAACAAGTTGTGCTCCGGAGCACCAGGAGGTTTCCTCTGTCTCTGAGCATGTTTCTAAGTATTGCACATAATAGAACTGATGATCAGAGGAAATTCCTGTGGTGTTATTTCTAATCACTTAAAGATGACTTAAGTTTTCCACATCCCTATATCAAGGCATCCGTGTGCACAGACACAAACACACAGTAAAGGATTTTATGTGTGGTATCAAATTTGACACCAGATCACTCACATAATGAGTGTAAAAACCCACACAGGTCTCTCATATTTCGTTTACACACAGATGGTAGTTGTAGCTATAATGTCCAAGATTATGAGTTTTTATGTTATATTGTACTGTTGTTAACTGAAACAAAAACCTATTCTCAATTTTTGTCATTTTCCTGTCAGGTGTTGAGTGGGGCTTGGTATTTCCCGATGCTAATGGGGAGTACCAGTCTCCCATCAACCTAAACTCCAGAGAAGCCAGATACGACCCCTCACTGCTGGATGTCCGCCTGTCTCCAAATTACGTGGTCTGCCGGGACTGTGAAGTCACCAACGATGGGCACACCATTCAAGTTATCCTGAAGTCAAAATCAGGTATTTTGGAAAGTGTGTTTCTGCACCCTTGTGAGCAAGTGGTCAGTCTCTGATATACCTTGTAGGGATTTAAAGGGGATACCGATGTAGTTTCTGTCGTCATAGTTTTTTTTTTTTTTTTTTACAAGATACATTTTCTGGAAATTATTTTCTAAAATAGCTGTGAAGGGCTAAGAGGGTGAAGTGATGGCTATCTCAGCTGGCTGTTCTCCCAAAGCCGTGCCTGGAGCTGCCTCTGTTGCTTGGACAAACATTTACCCAACTGTGGGGAAAGCAGTTCATACACAAGCATGCTTATTTGATTTTTTCTGCTGTGTATCTTGTTCCAAATTATTGATTAGCTAAAATCATTTAATTGTAATTCTTCGTTTCACTGGTTCGTGAAACCAAAGATCAGAATGTATTGATGATGTCGTTGATGTTGTCCGTGTTCAAGATAAACGGTTCAAATTAAAATTTCCCTTCTCTATTAATGTCAAGGATAATTTTAATAACAGTTAAACTCAGCCAGATATTTAAGTGTAAACCTAGCTCTTGGTTTTGTTTGGTTTTAACTCATACACCCTTCTTTGTGAACCTAGTTGAAATGAATCTGAGATGGTTTGTGGAAAAATTAAATTTCCAGGGACATTGGTGTTCAGCTTAATTGTAGGAGAGATGAATGCAGATTGAAAAAGCAATCACTACCATTATGTTTTTCAGAGGGACAATGACTGTTTTCCTCCTGGAAAGAATGGAACATTAGAGGGTGTTGAATGTTGATGTGTGCTTCAGCGGGGGTGTGCTTGCATTAACTTCGACTGCTGGATTAGGTATTTTAAATCATGAAACCTTCATGTCTGACATTAGGCAATGAAGGTATTAATCCCTTCCTTTAACTCATCATGTTTCAGCGCTTCGCTTTCTTCAAAATCTGTGAGACAGAACATGCATTCTTCGAAGCTGTTGTGAGTTTAATCAAGGTGGGGACAGCTCCTAAAGGACAGTCTGTGCTTTGTGTGGAGTTAGGATGCTTCTTCCTAAGTTCACACATTGAACTTGGACCTGAGCTTAAATCACAATGTTTTGGAGATGTTTATCTCTGGTCATGGTGTATTTCATATTACCGACTACTTGGTGTACTCACCCCTCTGTCCTTTCTTCCTGTGACCTCCACTCCTGAATGGTAGGAAGAACCGACCTTATTTCTTTCCTGGTCCTGGCTTTGTCCTCCACTCCTTTGGGGACTTTCCTCCCTCACATGCCCTTTCTGTCACGGCAGTGATCTCTCAATATTTCAGCAAACTTAAAAGTTAATCGGTGCTGTGCGTGGTGGCACACACCTTTAATTCCAGCACTCCAGAAGCAGAGGAAGGTTGATCTCTGTGAGTCCAGGCTAGCCTGATTTACATAGTGAACACTTATCTAAAAAGACAAGTAACTGAAAAACAATGTCTTGATTAGTTTATCACCTTTTTTTTAATTTATTTTTTTTAGGACATTTCAGCTACTTTAAACTATGAACACCATTTATTTAAGGAAGTATTTTCTTTATCAGAATGGACTACAGACATAATTTGAATAGTTGGTTATTTCTACATTCTCTAGCTATAGCCTATCTTACTCTACCTACAGCTTGTTTTTCTCTCGTAAAAACTATCCTGAGCCTCTAAGAATTATTTTTTTGTTCTTTGAAATCATGATATAATGATACCATTTCCCTTCCTTTCTCCAAATCCTCACATACCTTTCCTTGCTCTCTTTCAAGCTCATGACCATTTTTTTATTAATTGCTGTTATATATATATGTAAATGTACATACATATGAATTCCTAAGTATCTAAACACAACCTGCTCAGTCTGTATGCTACTAGATGTTTGTTTTCAGGCTGAACCTTTTAAAATGGCTTCTCTTTTATTTCCTAATAACATGTGTATGTTATTCTGATACTTAAGAGCTCTCCAGGCTCCCTGCCATAGAAGGGCAGGGGGGTCTTATAAGCCTCTCCTGTCCTAGTTTTGCCCCAAATGCCTACATTACGCCATTAGTAAATTAATACTCACTATTAATTATTGGTATGACCTTGCATCTGCCATTTCTGATCAAGACCATATTCTGTTTCCTTCACGGGACAATGCTTTCCCCTGGAGTTACTGTATTTTTATTTATTTATTTTTAAAGTTATCTCACAGGAATTCACCTTTTAACTCTTGACAGACGATAGGTCTTTTCTCAGGACATTCAAAGGCACGGAAGGAATCGTCCTTCCTTTCCTCTTGTCCTTTTTCCCGCCCCTTGGAGCTGTTCCTCTCCGTCTGGATTGACACTGAAAAGTTAACACATACACACTTTTCCTTTTCGTTCTCACACTTTTAGTTCCTAGAACCTAGTGCTGGTAGTTTGCATTAATGTCCTGTCGAGTTTCACTGTTCAGGGTCTCATGAAAACGAGTCCTTGCTTCCTTCTTTTCTGTGGCCTTCAGCCTGGATTTTGCTTGTTCTGGGTTCTTCCTCATTCAGTTCTGGCCTTTCATCTTGAGGTTCTTCTCAAACATCTATGGATCTGGCTTTCCGCTGCTACTTAAGAACCATTCTAAAATGCGGTCTAGAAGTTCGGTTAACAGAGGCATAGGCTGACACATGGCCACTGATGGAAGCAGACAGTGATCTGACTGTGCTGGAGAGGTAGTTCTGGAGGCTGGCTCAGTGTTCTTGGAATTCACCTGCTTGTTGTTTCTGTTTATTTTTTTGGGGGGGGGACAGTGGGAAGGGAGGGCTGGCCTACATGTGGATGTTAGCATTCTGGCTGTTGTCAACGGTCAAGAGAGTATCACCACACACTGTGTTCCTATTCTCTGTTCCTCTGCCAGGGACTGTAAAGACAGATATTTGGCTGTGGAGAATGGGGTGCAGAGTGAAAGGCTCCTTTTAGAGACCTCCATTTCCTGTTTGCAGTTTCCTACCCTGCGTTTCCACCCACATCCAGGCATACCCAATGCCCCTCAGCTCTAAGTCTGTCCTGGGGTCTGTCCCGCTGTGACAAAATACATCTGACTGTGACTTATAAATAATAAGAACACTTTAGTTAGTTCCTGTTGCTGTGAAGAGACACCATGACCACTGCAACTCTTATAAAGGAAAACATTTAATTGGGTGGTTTACAGTTCAGAGGCTCAGTGCATTATCATCAAGGTGGGACATGGCAGTGTGCGGGCAGACATGGTAGAGAGAGATACCTGACAGTTCGACATCCCGATCAAAAGGCAACAGGACATGGTCTATCTCACTTGGTGTAGCTTGAGCATAGGAGACCTCAAAGCCCACCCTTGCAGTGGCACACTTCCTCGAACAAGGCCACACCTACTCCACCAAGACCAGAGCTTCCAATAATGCCATGTCCTTTGGAGGCCACTTCCTTTCAAACCACTACAAGGAGTTTCTGTTTTCCAGTCCTGGAATCTGGGACTTCTCAGCTCCGGGTGTGTGCAGATGCGGCATCTGAGAACATTCTCTGCTGCATAGACAGCACCTCATAGCCGTGTCCTCAAGCTGCAGAGGGCGAAGGGGGCAAGCTCTCTTGCCATTCTCCAGGGCAGGATGCTCATTGCCTAAGTATCTCTAGCATGACTGCACTTGGGAGCTGGCTTCAGGAAGCCACGCCCTGTGGTGGGTGTGCCTCTAGGGGACATCTCTGCTGAAATTCTGTTTTACTAAGTCAAAATTCCAGGCCAACTATCAGTGTCCTTGGTTTCTTTGGCATTTCTCTGCTGCTTTTAAATTCTACCCTTGGCCACTGTGCCCTTGCACATCCCCCCTCTTTTGTGAGGCTCGAGGAGGGAGGAGAGCACTTCTCATCCAATTGGAGGTATTTCCTGAAAGCAGTGGGATGTCTTTTAAACTTTATTTATTTATTTATTGTTTTTAAGGTAGGATCTCAGTAAGTTATCCAGTCTGGCCTGAAAAAGCACTGTGTATTGGAGATGGTTTTGAAGTCCTAGCAATCCTCCTGCCTCTATCTCCCACGAGGTAGGATTATAGGCATGAGTACCATGTCCCACTCACATGATTTTAAAAAACTTACTGTTTTAATTATTATTTTGTTATGTGTGTGTGTGTGTGTGTGTGTGTGTGTGTGTGTGTGTTGAGGGTTTGTACATGAGGAGGTGAGAGGGCAATTTTACAATTCTATATCTCTTTCCACCTTTACATGGGTTCTTGGGATCAAATTCAGGTTACCAGGATTCACAGAAAGGGCTTTTACCTGATGAGTCATATTTTGCACAAATTATCTTTTTAAAGTGAAAAACAATACTTGTATGATAAGCACAGCTTTCTTTTCTTAGGAATTAAAGCAAGCTTTTATTAGTTGTTGAGATCTTAGTTTCCCTGAGGATATCTGTGGTGGTGGACATTTAGTCATTTTTTTTCTTTCCTTTTACTTTTTTTTTTCTGTGTTTATTGTTAAAAAAGCAAAACAGAACAAAACAAACCAAAAAAAAAAATCACAAAGAATTACCCCAAACGATGACACCATTTTTTGTAGTATAATTGCAGTGTCGTGCTTCACAAACCAAAGAGGTTAGTGTCACCCTAATGACGCAGTTCCTGCGTGCGGTCGCATACAGGGACAATGCCTTCCGGTGAACTGGGGCATTCTTGATCCAGCACCCAGCCTCTCTACCTTGCAGCTCTTCTGAGATGTTCTCAGGCTGAGACCACAGATCATCTCCCCCATGCTCTCCCCAGTGGGAACTGGAAAACCTTTTGGACTCCTGCTCTGCTGGGTTTGAAACGAGAAGTGTGGAAACCTAGATGGTCTCCAACAGTCACCTGAGGGTTGTTTCAGTTTGACTTCTTTCTCCCTGCCGTTTCTTCATACCATCCTGGGCTGTCTAGCTTCCTCCTCAAGGCTTCTCTCACATAGGCTCTACAGTGTAGAGAATGTGTGCTGCTTTGTTTCGTGTTGTTTCCGTCAACAGACTGGCCCTACGTTGTCTACCCCTCAGCAGGTTGGGGCAGCC